TACGACACTAGTAGTGTAAATATCCCCATTAGTTAACATGGAAAAATGTTACAGCGTCTGCTAATGCCTCCTGTGTAAATTAGCAGTAAGTCGGTAAAACATGTAGCTTTTAGAAATATGTCTAAGTGGTAGCGATGTTGAAAACCCAATTGTCAAAACTCCAAATAACACAAAGATGAATCAAGTACTCAGAAATCACAAAGCACATAGGTTTTTGTAAAAGGTTATACGTAAATCATGATTAGGTTGAAACTTGGAAACATGAAAAGCATCACAAAGTTAATATTATGCAAAAATATGCAAAGCATAGAAGACGGGGAAATCCAATGCCATATTGTGTAACATTCTCGTTCCCTTTCTCTCGCTCTTATTTACATTCTCCGTCTGAGGTTGCAGTGAGTAAACCATCAGAATGTAGTTAGCATCTCCCGCTCGTACTCTGTGTGATACATTGCAGATGGAAATGAGCGAGAAATGGCTTTGCAGTGTTGTGTGCATGTTAATGCGCTTCGGCCTCCTCCCGGATTTACCTTATGTCATTTGGAATTACAGGAGTTATATCCAGAGTTATACGTGGCCTGTTTGCATGAAAGTCAGTTACGTTTCTTCTGGGATTAATCCAGCGTCCTTTGTAAGTTCACTGATGTGACCCTCTGGAGGCGGCATTTTGTCACCTCAGATTCAGAACCAAGACAATCGGAGCGTGTGCACAACAGTCACAACAGTAGCAAGAACACAGGTGTGATGGAACTAACTTACGTATTCAGGCTATTTTTATTTGCATTTGCATTTTTATAATATAATTTATTACATGCATGTCAAAACTTCCTCTGCAGTCTCTGTGATGAAGATAATTTTCCTACATACATATCATATATTTAGTAAAAACTGCCCCGTCCAGTCCACATAAGATTTTTTTTTTCAGCAGTTATTCATTCTTAAAAATACAAAACTGCTATAATTGATTGGCCAAAGGTGGTCCAATTCAAAATTGTCTTACTGAATGATTCACATTCAAATATGTTTTGTATCAATATTATCAATCTCAGCCTATTTCCCTCCCTTATGTAGGAAGGTTCATAATCATAGATAGATAGAACGTGGATAGCACTCTCAGTCAGAACTGGGCCTGAGTGGAGTTTGCATGTTCTCCCCGTGTCTGCATAGGTTTCCTCCGGGTGCTCCAGTTTCCCCTACCACCAAAAACATGTACAATAGGTCTGGCATGACCCGCTTCCATCTCTGTGTGGAGTGAGAGACAAATGCCCACAATTGTAAACCGCTTTGTGACTCTGGTCTGTGAAAGGTGGTAAATAAATAAAGAGGGCTGTCAAACGATTAATTTTTTTAATCGAGTTTATTACAGCTTAAAAATTAATTAATCGTAATTAATCACATTTCAAACTATTGGCAAAATTATGCCATATTTTTCTGTAAATGGTTGTTTGAATGGAAAGATAAATGACAGCTTAGTGAACATATGTACTGTATTTGTTTGTTATAACAATAAATCCATATAAAATGGAATTAACATTATTAACATTCTGTCTTTCTGTTTAGACTCAGACCAAAACCTTTGTTTGTTAAAGATGAGGGACATTTCAAACAGTCTGAAATGCAGAATGTCATTAAATCTGTTTGATTTGCTCACACCATTACTTTTTTTGGCACAACTAACATGAACTGATGGTCGAAAGGAAAATTAGGTACCTCACCTTCAATTTAGCGAGTGCGCTTCGGGAGAAGACACGGAGGAGACCGAGGCTCCGCAGTCCAGCTTCAGCGCTGTAGATATTGTGTGCATCGGTTACGCAAAGACACGTACGCACACTAGAGAATAGTTCTGTAATGGTTCTGTGCGTGGTCTTGGATATGATCCCATTACGCAGCGCCGTTCGCCGTGATCACAGCCGCTGGAAGTGGTGCTGCTGTCCAGAGCGCTGTGGCGCCTGCAGCTCATCATGCAGAGTTCATACAGGAAACTACAAGTGCTTCGCAGTCACGCGTGTATTCTTTCAAAACTTGAATTCCCAGAGGGTCTACCTGCTCTGTCCCCATTTTACACGCGCATGTGTCCACGGAATTCTGAGTGTTATTATGGGACCCATGGGCATGCATCAAATGCGTTAATTTTTTTAACGCGATTAATGAAAAAAATTAATTAACGTGCGTCGACGCGATAATTTTGACAGCCCTAAAATAAAGCTTACTTACTTAGAAACTTTATTGATCCCCTAAGAGTAATCCAGATGTCCAGCAGCAGAAACGCATCCATCCATGCAAATAAATGCATATTTCTAAAAGTTACTAACAATAGTAAAAACAGTAACAGGACTGTCTGTCACAGCAGCAGAAGAGGTGTAGCCGTTGGTGATGAGCTAGAACCGATCCTCTGGTTTATGTATGCAGAGTCTGCATACATCTGGTTCAGAGTGAAATTCTGAACGCTTTATTAGAATAAATAAATAAAAAAAATACCAGATGTACGCTTGATTTCTTGGTTCGGACCATGCATCCTCTCTGCTCTGGTCTGGATCAGTGTGAAACCATGAACACTGTACTGCGGTAAGATTTACAGTTAGAAAAAACCAAGAAACAAAATGATTGTAAAGCAGAAAACAACAATTGTTTCAAAATTACTAAGGACTTGCAGCCGTTTATAGCGCTTTCAAAAGTAAAAAGCCCATTGTGGGGCTTTCTAGCCACAAAAAATCAATACAATTGGTAGAGGATTTAATAAAGCATGGTAAAGTTAGCTTTACTGGCCTCATAGGAGAAAAATTGTCCTCTGCATTTGACCCAGCTCCAGATTTTGATGCTTGGCTTTAAGTGGTGCGTGAAAACAAAGCCCCTGCAGGAGACCCCCCCAGATGCAGGGGGAAAGATGAAGACTTCACCCCCTTCTAGCTGTGAAACATGAAAAAGTAATCTTGTATTCCTGGAGATCTTTACACGTAGACAGGCTATGTACATAATGTATCCTCCTTGCACTCTCTCACGCTGGCAACTTCAGAACTTGTCACAAAGATTTCACACTTATTATATGGAGCTCAACTTGAAAACTCTTGCCGTGCGACCTCCTATAGTGTTTGCCCTTGTTATTTTGTATTCCCACTTTTTCGATGTCCCATGTTTACCGCTGCTGCTAGCCCGGATTAGCCCTGACAGCCGGTGGAGAGTGAATTGGTGCGCGCTTTGGCCAGTGCCTTGTCAGAAAATGCTTTTAGACCACGCTGTGCCGGCATCCCCACCACCAGTCCATCTCCACAGCACACAACACGCTCACGCCGCACTAATCCGCATCTATTTTGGGCTCGCGGGGCTCCAGTCAATCATCGTTGTTATCCCTGGGAGCCGAATGCATTCTGGCATTCACCTGGCATTCAAAACCAGTCATTTTGGCCTAATTTCTCATCGCTAATACGGTGCCAAGCTTAATTAGAGAGACATCACATTCTTCAGGGAGGCATTGCGGAATCGAACCTTGCACGAATGAACTCAAAATTGTTTATAAGAAAAGGTTGTAGACTTGGTAAATGTGTGCGTTGTAATCGAGAAGGGAACGGACGCACTCGAGGCTCGGACAAAGCAGCTTACCGTGGAGTTGACAGTTGCGCACGGTTGCGTCATTGCCATATTAAAATGTCACTTTTCAATCCGGGCTCAGTGGATTACAGCCAAGTCTGAGTGAGTCCTGCCAAAAATACACAGATGCAAGTGTGAACTGTCAAAGGGAGCAGGCTTTACAGGCTGTTTGCTTTTCATATGAATTTGGATTGTATCGGTCCAGAATTTGGCAGTATCTGTAGTTCTTGAAAATCAGTGCACTTCTGAAATGGGCCGTTTTTTTGTATTGGTGTTTGAAGAGGAGGCTGTCTTGCTGTAGCTTGTTAGAAATCATATTATTAAAATAGAAAGAGCCTTGTGAGTCACTATTTTACTATTTGAGAGCTTATTGTCTGACTGAGGGTGAGGTCCTCAGGTGAAAACTAGTGACAGAAGAGAGAGAGATGGATTGTATTACACATGACGATTCAAGAATATTCAAGAATAATAATCTGAATTCAGATCGATTCCAACTCCGACTTTAACGCAAGCAGACGCACAGAATGAGTTTTTTATAAAACATTTCTATTTCTATTACATTATATTACAAACTGTGCCAAATGCAGTTCCGCCTGGATTTTTCACATCAAAACCTGCATACATTGTTATTTTCTTGGTATCTAGACAAAGGGGTCAGTAAAAGGTTTGAGTTGCATTTGATTACGTTTATTTGCTTCTTTACGAGTAATTATGTCATATATACATTTATGTGTTTTTTATAGGCGAACCAACCTTTTTGATAATGTAGCCTAATGTGCTCTTGCACACTATTGTAGACATGAACATGTTCACATCCACGGGTCAAAAGGCCTGTAATGTACTCACAGTAACAGTATATGGGAATAGGCCTGAGAGTTTAAGGGGTTTATTATGACATATTAAATGATATTAGATTTTTTTCACTGATGGTTAATGTCAGATTGGTGTTTTTGAGCGTTGGAAATCAAATCACTTTTTCAATTATCAATCAAACAATATTTGAGCAAACTTTGATCTGTAGAATAAACACAAAGAAATTGGGAAAACCAGTGCAAAGGTGAATTGAATATGTCCTAAAGTTGAGATGATTTATTGTCTTATAAACAGCACATGGCTCCTACAACTATAATTGATACAAAAACTACAACAATAATCAGTTAAATGCTCATTTTATCTTCAGTCTGTTCTTCTATTTGCCCACTTTATATCTACATTCATCCAATCTGTTGTATTATAGTATATATATATATTATAGTATGTATATATTGTTTCTTTCTCCAGTTCCATGTGTTTCTTTGTGAGCACAGACCAATGTAAATATACCTGTGAATATACCAGGGATTTCAAATGCTATTATTAATGTGTGGAACCTTGTGACCGTAATGAACAAAATTCTGTCGCTTTTCTCCCCACAGATTCCACCTCAGGTAGGTCTTTATTCCTCTAAATTGATTTCTTTTTTTTTCACGGTTTTGCTTCATTCACAGTCATAAAGCCCATGAGTGTTCTGCTGGAGTGTGTGTTTGCATGGACATTTTATACAACACATTTAAATGCAGCACATGTAAGTGCATTTAATGAGTGAAACAACATGTAGGCCAATTGGTCCAATAAGTACACTGGAATTCTGCTTAAATCAATTGGTTATTATCTTGATTTACCAATTTGACAAAGCAGTTGTTTTATTGTCTCATTGGAAAACAATATTTTAAGGTATTTTATTCAAGCGATGTGCGACTTATTTCTGTCCCTTTTTGCAGTGCATTCACGTTGGTAAAAACAGTGCAGACTTTTTGCTAAGACCATTGCAGTCTGTGTTTATGCATCAAAAAGCTACATTTCTCTCTTTGTATTGGCTGATAGTGTTTGAAATAGTTCGACTTGTCTCTAATCCCAGCCTGCATGAGCCACACATATGCATCCATACTATGTGATATCAGGCAAAGACTGTTGTTGTCTCTGTACTGTGCATGTGTTGACCCTCCTCCATCTTTAGGATGAAACGTCCTCACAAAACCCTGGTCACTTTCTCACTCTGTGCTGCTCTGTAATGTCCTGTAATGTGGAGGTCGGCCTCACTGACAGCTTCATTAATTATCACTTTTTGAAAACCACAGCATGTTTTCTAAGCCCTTTTTTTAGCAGTTTCTGGCATAACATGACGTCAAGGAATGAGCCACTTAAGGAAGTAGCCTTTAGTATATTTTATATGTTTTAAATTAATAAAATGATACACTAATTTTGTTTATTGATTAGTTGGTCATTTATTCATTAGCTTAGTTGTTTTGATCCATTGATTGATTGATATTCGACCAAAACCAAGCTCAAGTGGTGCCTTGTAATGATAATTAGTTGACAACTATTTAAATAATTGATTAGTTGGATAAGGATAAACGAACAATAACACATTAAAACCACCAGACAGGAGGCACAAGCCAGACCTATTGGACATTTTTTAGAGGTATTTCAAACCCAGGACCTTCTGGCTGTAAAGTGCTAACCACTGTGTCACCGCGTCGCCCAGATATTCTTCTACTTTACAACATTTAAAAAGGAAACCATATTTAAAAATGTCCCACCTTTAACAGAGTAAAAACATCTCCTCAATAATCCGGTTAATTTCTATACTTTGATCAGATTTTATAACCTAAAAGCTTGGTTTGTAGACACGATTGATGTTTCAAATGCACCGGCTTTAACATCTGCTTCACATGAGTCCAATAAAACAGACACCCAAAAAACATAATATTAACAGTTTCCAATGGGACAATCAGTTGGACTCTTATCTTTTGCAAAACATTTTGTACTCGCCCTCTCGGAGCATCGCGTTATAAAACTCCAGTCGAGAACCATTTGGCCTCAGACAAAACCTCTTTGATTGTTTGTCACATTGTGTTGAATTACAAGCAGACTGACTGATTTCAGTAGAAATCAAATCACTTGTCAAAGGAATAAACAATGGCTCTCATTTCATATTCTCAGTGCCTTCCTCTGTTCAAAGTTTAACACTTTTTTTTGTTTTTTTTACATGATACGTTTACAGAGTTTTACTTGTCGAGACCAATTTACTCAAATCAAGAAGTGTTGCTTTTTAAAGGATTATAACTCATCTTCATAATGTTTATACTGAGAAATCCTAATAGAGCTCAGTAAAAGGACATGGTTTGGCCCTACAGGCATTATTTGTGGCATGACACAACAATATTATGATGAATATGAATATTGAAATCGAGCACAGTTAGAGGCTTGCATTTCCCAATAACCCGTTGATTCAACCAACACAGATCAGAAAATCAAACAGTTCAAACGCAATAAATGCATTGATAAAAAACTGAGAGAAAAGTCCATAAATGTTGTTGAATGTCGAGTGTGGATCATCACCACTGTGACCGGCATGGAACAACTCTCAAAACCCAGTGGGAGAAAATGAGAAACCACGGGGAGTCCCACACATGGATGAAGGGATCCGCTCTCATGGATGTGCACGGGCTGTAGATCCAGAACTCAGGCTGTAGAAGGAACCCCAAGGCCATGCGATGCAGGACTGAGCCGGCTCCCTGGTAGACAGTACACAGACCCTCTCAGGATCCTAGTGTCAACTCTGAGTGTAGGGCGTCTGTTTGTGCAGAGCAGAAGAATGTCCGCATGAAGAGGGAAAAGGACAAGCGGGAAGTGTGAGGTTGGCATTTGGTCCCATGGTCAAAGAGAACTGTTGCCAGAGCTGCTAGCTGTATGCTTGGTCGTGCAGTGAGAGAGGTCCAGTCTGTTGCCAACAAGTGTAGCAAAGCCAAGATTTGGTGTGGCCCGCTTGTTTATAGAAATGCCACTATCTAGAATCAAAACCCAAAAACAATATCCAGAGATGAAAAGAGAAGTACAGGCCCTGGTCATTACAAAACTCAAATCATACATTTCATAGCATTGTGGACTACATGAACTGCCCCCTTGCAACCTCGCCTACACTCACATCTCTTTTGAAGGCAAATCGAGCTTCCTACTGATGTGTTTGTACGCACACTATGCCAAGTCCCTCCTGAACCTGAGTCATGTCTTGATCAGTTTTTCTTTGCGCTCTGTTTGTTAAGGGCATTGAGAAAGCCCATTCTCACTCAATGATTTGTATTAGATCAAGATATACACATTATTTTTGTTTATCAGGGTCAAACACTTCAAAATGGAAACTAATGTGCCACAGTGCCATCTATTGGTGGAAATGTATTGTGCTTTTAAAATGACGGCAAAATATAAATGTTTGTGAGCAATTCACAAAACTGATTTAATGGCAAAACTAATTTGAAACAAGGCTTGAAGGGAGAATGGTCGAGTGAATGTGTCGGTGCCAAGGTGACCATAGAGCAAAATATAACTCAAGGTCTGCTCCTACTTGCATTACCGGTCTCCTTTAAAATGCTGTGTATTTCCCCTATCTTCAATCCATAGTGTATGGCCACGACACACAGGAGCAGGTTTTGGCAGTATTTGAGGACAGGCCTGTTTAGATATCTCTCAGCGTGACCATTTTTCATAGAAGCAGGTGCCACCAAATGGAGTGAACCGCGGGGCACTGTCATCGATTTGCTCTCCCGATGAGGAGCTCGAACACAGCACCAGGAGCTGGGTCACATCACTACACACCGCTGATAACACACAGGCACTTGTAAACAACATGGATGAATATGTTCACTAAAGTTTCAAGGATTTTAAGGATATATAGCGGGCTCAGTGGTATAGAAATCGGATGTACGCATAAAATAATTCATGATACGGTTATTCAGTATATCTAAATCATGTGTAAAAGGTGAGCAAAGACAGGCCTATCTCTTACTTGCCCTTAGTGAGCACTGTTGAATGCAATGGACACACTCTCTCAGTCATATAGAACATATACAGTGATACAGTGCCTTGAAAAATACTCCAGAACTCATCCATAACATTTGAAGAAGATGACAAAGTCTGGGATCGTGTCTTTCAATCAGACAGAAGACATGTTTTATTGTCAATGGTAGAGACAGCACGAACAAAGCACACGAACAAGGGATGTAACAAACTGTTAGTGATAATATAGCATGGGAGAATGAAGTCCTCCAATCAGCAGCTGCCACAGTGTGCTTGTAGCTTCAACCTTGAGATAACCAAAACAAGTAGTGGAAAAGTACAGGCTTCTGCACATTGATAGAATGATGAGTTTAACTTTAACAAAAGTTGCTTCAAAGTGTTATGAAATCTCTACACATTAAGATACTGTATGTAATAATTGTTGTCCAGATTTACCATAGACATTCATCACAGAAACAACATCTGTGATCAGTGCTGTCGTTGTTTGGAAATACAGCTGAGTCTTGGTAGATTTGAAGTGGACTGAGAGTAGAACCTTCCTCAAGCCACGGCAGAACAATAGGTAATGGCTCGAGACACATGTGTATTAGTAGCTCAGTGGGTTTATATATTAAACAAATAGTTTATGTAATTTGTGTTCATTTTGGGTCCCTAGCCATCAGCATACAGGCATTTCACATTTTAAAAAGTAAAATACTTAACACTCCCATCGAGTGGGAAATTACATTCTGCTAATTTAGATCTGAGTCTTAGTGCGGTCTAATTAAAAGTGCTAAGTATTTGACTGGAGAAACTCTGACAAATTTAAAATTAGCTCTGTCTCTGAAGTCATACTTATAGGATTCTTCTTAGCAAGTTATGGGAAGGAGCATTTAGACTGAAAGGGTGGGGGATGTGTGCCAGAAGTTCTAATAATGCTCAAATAAAACTATCTCCAACTCTAACTCCTCTAATTTCATTTTAAATTCATTGGTGTGGAGTGAAAGATTTGTGTAATCTGTAAAAGTGCCACTCTTGCTTCACACTTGACAACATTTACGAAAATGAGTTGGTGATAAGTTGAAATAATTAGTCTTGCTTTGTATTTTGAGTGCCCTAAAACCAGATTTGCCGATTGAATGAGCAAAAAACATTAGAAAAGACGAGCAATTTCTCAGTGGAAATGAGATAAGAATGCTACTGCGTTTGGAGCCTGTTTTGCTGACAAATGCAAAGGCAGTCAAAAAGTGATAAAACCAAGATAAATATGGTTCTATCTTGAAATGCATTATAGGGAACACATATTATCAAGATAGAATGATAACATGTGAAGTCTAAGTATTGTGTAATGTGTACTGGGTGCACTAGATATATTTGTTTCGTTATAAAAATCTACTGTAGGCGTTTTACACTGCTATATTACTTTTTACCCATTATGTCTACTTTTGCAGTTATTCCATTCTTCATTGTAAAAAAAAATCTCAGGGACACAGACATGGTCATCGGTAGAAATGGCTTCTGACCACCTCCAATCACAGCGTGCGTTGCTCAAGGACACAGGACCTCATGAGAGTACCCTCCAGCCCCTGCACGATGTAGGCACCAGGCCAAATGCAGTACAATTATATTAGGACCAGAGCTTCTTGGGAATGAAACCCACACATTTAGGGCAAGTCTGATTTTAGGAATTCCCAGTTCTAGAGGCAGAGTAAAAATAAGTTAGCAACATTACTCTTGCAGTGCAAATAAGTGATCCTAGAAATGACTAAAAACAAAGTTCCGCAGAAAATAGCGACTGCCCAGTATACTGGGTAACCAAAAAATATTTTTTGAAAATAGTCCAGGGTTTTCCAGCTGAATTAGACTAATTTTGATGCTCTGAGTCTGAAAATGACCTTGGTTTTGCTCAATCAGGTCAGGATTTTTTGCTACAGAAATGTTTTTTTTTATCGTTTTTACGTAAAAAACAAATTTCTGCGGATCATCAGCTGAGAAAACCTTTACGTTTTTTCCGTTTTCCTCAAGAAATAAAAGTCAACGTATCCAAAGTCATTCAGTTTTTATTTACTCCATCAAATTTGATAAGCAGAATTCATAATAACGTAGACGTACATAATCCGTAACACTATGGCTGTATCTCAAAAAGTTGACCTGATAGAGCAAAATGCATTTGATATTCGGACTCAGAACACCAAAATTAGTCTAAATCAGTTGAGAAACCCCTGACCATTTTTTGGCTGTCAACTTGTGTAAGTATTTGGCGGTGCAAGTTTTCCCATATTAAAACCAATTCTCTCCACTTCCATCATAGGTGCACTTCAGCTGTGAGTGTCAGAATGTGAATTGTAACCCAGCAAATCAAATTGTATGTTATTTTTGTAGCATCATGCCAAATTCTATACTTGGTGTGCAATGACCGCTCCATACAACATTACATTATTGGTTGCACTGCTTCCTGCTTTAAACCATATGTATTATATGCCCTAAGATATTTCTTGGCAAATCTTATTCAAAGGCTAAGACTATCACACCGAGCCATCAAGGTTATAAAACTGTATTTTAGAACATAAAACTATATTATTCTACTCTATTATTCTAAGTTAAACTACTGTAGGCATTTGGATGTGAAATAATAACATTTTGTATTTGCTTGAGCCCTGAGCCACAGTCTGACAGCCCCAACCATTTGTGTGAATGCCATTATAAAGGCATAATCCTCAGCTATTGTTTTCCAAAGAACCGCCTGATGACTGCCATTTCCACACATCTAACAAACTAGTGTGTACATTTCATCTTGCCGCTAATAAAACGCAAACTCTGACCTATTCCTGTCAAATATTTGCTTGTCCCTGCAGGCTTTCTGGAGGCATTTAGCATAACCATTTAGTTATTCAATCAGACCTGCCATTTTGTGACAAGCTACCGCCAAGGGCCCACAAAATGTGTCTTGAAAATATATAATCTAATATAGTATAATGCCTGCAAGTTGGAGCCTGCTTCTGCTACCACCTCACTCACTTGTTTAATGACGACATACAGTAGAAGCCCTTATCCTTATAAAGTTACTTGCAAGGGCTGGCCCATTCACATAAACATTATTACCAGAGCGGCTTAGAAAGTTATTTTAAGAGAGACAAAAAATGTAAAAAGATAATACTGCTTAACCCATTGACTGCCATTGACATATTTGTCTGAGATAAAAGTAGACAGTTCTGTCTTTTAGAATCTGGTTTCATATTTGACATAGTCATAGCACACAATATTCTGTGGGTCTTGAAAGTCAGTGAAATCATCAAAAACGGCTGGCAGTCAATGAGTTTTTAATAACCTGACATGTTTTGGTATAATTCTGTCTTTTTAGAGGTATGCAAGAAACAACTTATAAACCCAGTAGGATAGAAACATGAGAAACTTCAGGGAGGCCAATAATGAGAGAGGGATCTGCTCCCAAGGATGGACAGGCTGTAGATCCACGACTATACTAGAAAGTGTGAAAACATCTACAACAAGGACATACAGTACGGCCAAAATGTCTCCCGTAAAAAGATATTCGAATGTTTGTACGAGGCTGAGGTGACAGCTCCGAAGCGACACGATGTCTTGCTTGTCTCCAATACCATGTTGTACAGTAGCTTTCCCCATTAAGGATTCCTCAACGTTGGCGCCATTAGCAGTGGGGACTCACGCCCGCTTGGCGCCACTGAATTATCATTTCCTTTGGTCTGCATCCCTTAATCTCCATTCATTGCATGTTTACTCAACCAATAATCACAGCACGCCACAAATTAATTATATTTTTCCTGTTTCGGCGAGATCTCTTTGGTAATTGCTGCTTTTGTTGACGTCCTTGGCCACGTTATTGGCATGCAGCATGGATGGTACGCTTGTATGTTGTGCCTGCGAAGCGTGTAATGATGGCAGCTTTTGAGGCGTTTAACATAAGCTGTTTTTTTGTTTTGGAATGTGTCCAGGGCCTTGTCATTTCTACATAATGATACATTGCTTACCGCTGTTTATTATTTTCAAGGCTATTTCCCCAACCTCTTTCATTCATTGTTGTCGGTTTTGTTTATACATAATTTGTTTTGCTTTGCTTTCAGATGGCTTGTATGTTGAAGCAATATTACGCGTGATTATTTTGATAAATGAAAGTCTCTTGTGTCTGTTGTAGGATTTTGGAGATGACGGCTCGCTGTACATCACCAAAGTGACCACCAGTCACATGGGCAACTACACGTGTCATGCAGAGGGATACGAGCGCCTCCACCAGGTCCACACGCTGCAAGTCAACGGTACGTTTACGTGGAGCGACAGAACCAATGCTAGATATTTACATTCGTTTTTGATCAGACTAATGGCAGTTTGGGCCATAAGTTGAGGAAAATGTTTGAAAATATGAGGGAGGTAGCATTGAGTTTTTAAATATTTTGAATATTACATAAGATTGCAAAACACACTTGAACTTCCTACAAAACAACCAAAAAAAATACCATTTATCTATACTTTTAATGTTTTAATGTATAAATCATACGGTGCTGTTGAGGCAGGATGCAGGTTTGCTAGTTGGCAGATCAGACACGTGCGTTCTTTGTGCGCTCTGGTTCATTTTGTGTTGACGAACTGTATTTTCCGCTGTGGTCCTCGTTTGAGTCTGATTCCACGCACGCACTAGTCTCGCTCTTCACGTCTCTTATTTAAGTGCTGCATATGCGCCACTGGCTTTCCTTCATGCGCCTCCCTCCGGAAATCCTCAGAGATGTGTTTTGAGTCGTTTACATTGTACACTCACAAAGCCTCTGCGTTATGCTCAAGGAAATACTCATCTCTTTTTTTACCCGTATTACACAACGAGCAATGTTTACACACCCAGACGGACATTGATGGTTTTGTCCATTATGAATAATAACACAAACTTTATCCCACACTTTATTTATTTAACCAGGTATGCCCCACTGTGATTTCAGAGTCTCTTTTTTAGGGGAGGGCGGGAGTTAGGGAGGGTGTTACAGGAGACTATAGTTTAGAAGAGTAGTTTGTGTTGACATTGCGATTTATAAATAGAAAACAACTTTAGTTTACAAAGAATGGCTTGTGAAACCACTAACAATGAAAAAGCAACATTTCTGTCTGAGTGTCTAAACTTTCAAGAATCACTGTATAATTTTTCATGTAAACTCCTCCGACTACACTGCAGTGGAGCCGATCTAGAGCCCAGCGTGGCGTGTCTGTGGGTGTGCGTGTGTAAGTGTGTGTGCATGTGTGTGGCACGTCCTTGCGGCTGACATTGGCTGCTGTCAGAGCGCAAACACAGATGGAGCCGTGTGATTGTCAATGCGCCTGCAGTCACACTCGTGTTTCACACTCTGCGTCAATAGTGGCAGACATTAGTTTAAGCAGACGAGATAAAGAGGCTGTTTAAAGTATTGTTCCAGCATCTGCGCCTTTAGCGCGCCACTTGTTTGAAAAAGATGTGTGTGAATGTGGCAAAGCTCATCTGCCAGAGCTTTGCCACAACATCAGTTTGGCTTAGACTTAATCTGTAGTTTTACAATGAATGGACTCTTTCAAAATGTATGGTCATTGGTCATATGTAGTATTCACTGATTGTATTTTAGATTAGCAAATGTATTTGAACAATGTTGTAGATTGGATATACAGTAGTTAGTATTTAGATCTTAATGGAGGGCACGGTGGTGCAGTGGTTAGCCCTCTGCTTCAAAGAAAGAAGGTCCTATGTTCAATTGTCCAGGTGAGACAACGGATGGAATTTATGTATCCAATCTAATCCATTTGTAGGTCAGGGGGGTGGCAGTCCGAGCTGCACCCAATTCACAGAGCACCAGCCCCCCCCAGAAAGCAGGACTTCTTACCCATTTAAAGTTATCAGAATAGGTTGAGATCGTTTCGGCCTCAAGAACTCTAATCATTCGCTTTACTAAATTTGTGTAGTCCTAAGAGGAATTTGATTCATTCCAAGTTGCTATTTGGTGTTTTTTATTATTTAATTGCATCTTAGATAAACTTCTTCCTAAATTAATTGAACCATGAGGAAAAAAAAATGATAAAAAGTGTTTTGTTGTGACTCTGGTCTATGAAAGTAAATACATAAAGATTACTTACATACATACTACACTTATTCACTAACATCAACCCTTGTACTTGTACAGTGTGTCTGTGTTTATGTCTATGAAAATTGTGCAGGTTTTAAAATAAACGATCCAATGTAATCTACATTAAATTTAAAATGTCTTTAAGAACATGAAAATGGTTCATATGATTGAAATACTATGAATATATTATATATATATATCCCTCTGAGTTTGTGTCTGAGAGTCCTCTCATGCAGCAGTCCAAACACAGAGCAGCCTGAAAAGCCAAAAGACCAAAGAATGTGGCATTGCATTTTACAGATAAATATTGTAAACACACGCAACAACCCAAAGCCTATCACAGTGAAGTATCAGGAGGAGACGACTTCTCTCATAGTAAACAGATTAGACCATACTTCAGCCTGCGTTCACGGAGCTGTTACTACCTTCACAGGGACCACTTGATTTTGTGTTTCTGTTTGGTGCAATGACGGTCATGCAGCACTCCACGTCCAAATATGCTGCTACTGAAGTGTGGCATTATATACTCCAGTGTTTTTCAACCTTATTTGAGCCAAGGCACACTTTTTTCATTGAAAAAATCTCGCAACATACCACCAGGAGAAAATTTAAAAATATATATACTCTGTAGCCTATATTCACATCATAAAGTCATTCTCATCAAAGTGCTTAAATAGACATAAAGGCCTTGACATTAAAGTGTCAAAGTCTAGAGTTTGTCATAAAAGAGAGAGAGAGGTACATGATTTGGAAAAAATGACCCAAGCTTCCCCTTTCTTTCTGATTGGTCTTGAAGCCGCACCTAATTTTCCGTTTGGAGGAGAGATAATTAATTAAAATATTCAAAAATGTAATCAACATTTATTATACAGTTCCTCACAGCAGCAGTAGAAATCTTTCTAACGTTCTACCGATCATTATTTCTTGATAACGGACCTCTCAAACCATTAATAACCGCATTTGGCAACGCACTCTGTGCATTCAGTCATTCACCAGAGTGCCAAGGAAAGAATACTTTAGTTTGATAAACGACCTGATCTCTCCAAACGACTCGGGCACTTGACATAATCGCGTGGAGGCGACATGTAAACAAGACCGCATTATGAAAAGGCACCCGCTGCACAGATGCTCTACTGAGTTTTACCATGGATCTATTATAATATATAGTTTTACAATGTGATGTGAAGAGAAGAGACGTACGGATGAATAACTGTGAGGTTAAAACTACGGTGATCAAAGAAGCAGGAGATCCGTGGCAGAACATGGCTAAACGCTCATGTTGGCATTAGCGTTAGCCACAGCGCCCTATCTGCTTCACGGTAAGAAAAACAGAACATTCACTTACGCTGCTGATAAAGTATTTTGGCGATTGTTTTGTGGGGTTTTTGTGTGTTTTAGTTGAGGCTTTGTCCCTGAATAAGTTTAGTTGAAACTTGCTGCGCTCGGAGCAGGTCAGAACACCCTTAGACTGTGTTGTAGATTCTGCCTCGTTCTCATTATTGTCAGTGTGAAAAAGTTACGTATTGTTCACGTGTGAGTCTGTTGTGTACAAACTACACAATGTGCCTCCTGTTGTGTTAACGCTGTCTTTTGGTGCATGTGGTTTGTGATGTTGACACTGCTGCTATGAGGCCAGACTCTTGCATAAGTATTTTTCGAAAAGATTGTTGTTCGGGTCGTTCTCTTACATAACTGTGATCCTCCATGGTTCCTTCTGCAAACTTGTGAAGGCAAACGATATCAGCAAAGCAACTAAATCAGTAGCTCATGTGAACCGTATTTTTTTGGCGCATTGACACCGAGAGGACTCCTCTCTCATGGACATTTATAAGTTAAATTCTAAGCCTGTGAAAACAAGGCTTAGACAAGCTGTAATGTTGTATGTGGTTTGTCTTTCCTGGTCGACCCCTTGTCTTGTGAATCTTGTCTTTTTTCTGTTATGGGTCGTCCGTTCCCTGCCAGGGACTGCAGATGTAAATTAGCCTCAGGCTAACTCTGGTACAATGCATCAAATGGCAACATTTATGTTATAATTGTACATGGTCCCTTTTAAATAAAAATAAACTAACTAAACAATTAAAAAAACATGGTGGAGGTAAATATTCTTAAAAAGGTCACATTTGTTATCAGTTAACATGTTTTTTCACATGGAACAATTGTAGAAATTACACAGGGTGGCTTTAAGCTGTGTTCAATATTTCTCAGTACAATAAGTTAACAAGAATTTGGGAATAAAGTGGCACAAACTGAAAAACATGAAAAAAATCCACTCTCAGCTGTTCATGAGTCCATGGTTCTGTCCGCGCGCCTAAGGTTCTATTCCGTGCGTCCATGGTTCTGTCCATGCATCTAGTCCGCGCTCTGCACTACAGATGTGCGTTCACTTTCAAAGCAGTCAAAGCGGCTGCCCCAGGGTCAGAGCGGAGGATGTGAATCTTGTTCAGAAATGGCATAATTCCCTTTCAAAAACGTCTCCATCACTTTCACTTCTCACTCGCCACAATGCTCCTCGCTCCCTGTAACATTTGGTGGTCGCGTCCAAAACTTACGTTTCTCGCCAAAGGCTCCCCGCTACCTGTTACATCGTGTGGTTGTGTATTATCTGCTGCCACCTACTGATATAAAATAAGTATTACGTGGTTACTCCACAGTTCAAAACAAGTCAGCACTCGCCAACGGTGGATGCAGTTATTTTTAGTCAAAGTAGGCAAATTTATCTCAGCATACCAGACAATATCCTACGCCACACTACTGCACAGTAATTGAAAAACACTGATATACTCAAATATAGATCAAGAGGAAAGCAGAAGATCTGGAGGAAAGCAAACTCTAGGCTCATTCACACTGAGCAAAACCGCCTAATCCTCAAACACTGAGTACACGGGCTGGTGTGTAAGAACAACCGGCATCTAACCCGCCTTGCAATCTATAGTCTTTTTTTTTGACAATTTCATGAATTCATTGTAATTTAGACACAATAAAAGCAAACTGTTTTATAGGTTGATACAAGTGGGTCAGGTGAAGAAGGTTATGAAACTACACACAGAGTTGGTAATGACATAAAACATGGAGCTGTATTTGAGGAATGTGCTGCTCTTTCCTTCATAAAGTTGTCCTCTTAAAAAATATGTTTGGAAATGTTTTTTATCACTTCAGCCAGATGATAAACTGGGGACTTTATG